TTAGAACATAAACTATGTGTTTTCCAGTTCATAACAATGTAATAAACATATTTCAAAAGAAAAACAGAAAATCGTACCAACGGAATAGGCCAGCAATAGAAATTTATGGTAATTTAATATTTTCTTGAGGCAAATTTTAAATAATGCATTTAATTAATAATTACTGATAATTTTATCAAAAAGGTGTTAGATATTGTTTATTAAGAAGCAACTAACATGTACAAACGAAAAAAAAGATTTTTAGTAAGTTGGGTTCTTATGGAACCGAGGTCACACCAGTTAAAATCAAAGTCATATATCTCAACTATAAATAGTTATTAGAACATAAACGACGTGTTTTCCAGTTCATAACAATGTAATAAACATATTTCAAAAGAAAAACAGAAAATCGTACCAACGGGATAGGCCAGCAATAGAAATTTATGGTAATTTAATATTTTCTTGAGGCAAAATTTTTATAATGCATTTAATTGATAATTACTGATAATTTTTATCGAAAAGGCGTTATATATTGTTTATTAAGAAGCAACAAACATGTACAAACGAAAAAATCGATTTTTTGTTAGTTGGGTTGTTATGGAACCGAGGTCACACCAATGCCATTCAAGGTGACATATCTCAACTATAAATAGTTATTAGAACATAAACTACGTGTTATCCAGTTCATAACAATGTAATAAACATATTTCAAAAGAAAAACAGAAAATCGTACCAACGGAATAGGCCAGCAATAGAAATTTATGGCAATTTCTTATTTTCTTGGGGCAAATTTTAAATAATGCATTTAATTGATAATTACTGATAGGTTTATCAAAAAGGTGTTAGATTATGTTTATTAAGAAGTAAAAAACATGTACAAACGAAAAAAATCGATTTTTTGTTAGTTGGGTGGTTATGGAACCGAGGTCACACCAACGCCATTCAAGGTGACATATCTCAACTATAAATAGTTATTAGAACATAAACGACGTGTTTTCCAGTTCATAACAATGTAATAAACATATTTCAAAAGAAAAACAGAAAATCGTACCAACGGAATAGGCCAGCAATAGAAATTTATGGTAATTTAATATTTTCTTGAGGCAAATTTTAAATAATGCATTTAATTAATAATTACTGATAATTTTATCAAAAAGGTGTTAGATATTGTTTATTAAGAAGCAACTAACATGTACAAACGAAAAAAATCGATTTTTTGTTAGTTGGGTTGTTATGAAACCGAGGTCACACCAATGCCATTCAAGGTGACATATCTCAACTATAAATAGTTATTAGAACATAAACTATGTGTTTTCCAGTTCATAACAATGTAATAAACATATTTCAAAAGAAAAACAGAAAATCGTACCAACCGAATAGGCCAGCAATAGAAATTTATGGTAAAATTATGGTAATGGCAAAACTTAAATAATACATTAAATTGATAATTACCGATAATTTTATCGAAAAGGCGTTATAAGTTGTTTATTAATAAGTACCTAACATGTACAAACGAAAAAAAAGATTTTTAGTAAGTTAGGTTCTTATGGAACCGAGGTCACACCAGTTAAAATCAAAGTCACATAGCTCAACTATAAATGAGTCTTAGAACATAAGCGACGTGTTTTCCAGTTCATAACAATGTAATAAACATATTTCAAAAGAAAAACAGAAAATCGTACCAACGGGATAGGCCAGAAATAGAAATTTATGGCAATTTCTTATTTTCTTGAGGCAAATTTTAAATAATGCATTTAATTAATAATTACTGATAATTTTATCAAAAAGGTGTTAGATATTGTTTATTAAGAAGCAACTAACATGTACAAACGAAAAAAATATATTTTTAGTAAGTTGGGTTGTTATGGAACCGAGGTCACACCAGTTTAATTCAAAGTTACCTATCTCAACTATAAATAGTTATTAGAACATAAACTTTGTGTTTACCAGTTCATAACAATGTAATAAACATATTTCAAAAGAAAAACAGAAAATCGTACCAACGGGATAGGCCAGCAATAGAAATTTATGGTAATTTAATATTTTCTTGAGGCAAATTTTAAATAATGCATTTAATTAATAATTACTGATAATTTTTATCGAAAAGGTGTTAGATATTGTTTATTAAGAAGCAACTCACATGTAAAAACGGAAAAATCTATTTTTTGTTAGTTGGGTTGTTATGGAACCGAGGTAACACCAACGCCATTCAATATGACATAGCTCAACTATAAATAGTTATTAGAACATAAACTATGTGTTTTCCAGTTCATAACAATGTAATAAACATATTTCAAAAGAAAAACAGAAAATCGTACCAACCGAATAGGCCAGCAATAGAAATTTATGGTAAAATTATGGTAATGGCAAAACTTAAATAATACATTAAATTGATAATTACCGATAATTTTATCGAAAAGGCGTTAGAAGTTGTTTATTAATAAGTAACTAACATGTACAAACGAAAAAAAAAGATTTTTAGTAAGTTAGGTTCTTATGGAACCGAGGTCACACCAGTTAAAATCAAAGTCACATAGCTCAACTATAAATGAGTCTTAGAACATAAGCGACGTGTTTTCCAGTTCATAACAATGTAATAAACATATTTCAAAAGAAAAACAGAAAATCGTACTAACGGGATAGGCCAGCAATAGAAATTTATGGTAATTTAATATTTTCTTGAGGCAAAATTTTAATAATGCATTTAATTGATAATTACTGATAATTTTTATCGAAAAGGCGTTAGATATATTTTATTAAGAAGCAACAAACATGTACAAACGAAAAAATCGATTTTTTTGTTAGTTGGGTTCTTATGGAACCGAGGTCACACCAATGCCATTCAAGGTGACATATCTCAACTATAAATAGTTATTAGAACATAAACGACGTGTTATCCAGTTCATAACAATGTAATAAACATAGGCCCTATTTCAAAAGAAAAACTGAAAATCGTACCAACGGAATAGGCCAGCAATAGAAATTTATGGTAATTTAATATTTTCTTGAGGCAAATTTTAAATAATGCATTTAATTTATAATTACTGATAATTTTATCAAAAAGGTGTTACATATTGTTTATTAAGAAGCAACTAACATGTACAAACGAAAAAAATCGATTTTTTGTTAGTTGGGTTGTTATGAAACCGAGGTCACACCAATGCCATTCAAGGTGACATATCTCAACTATAAATAGTTATTAGAACATAAAATATGTGTTTTCCAGTTCATAACAATGTAATAAACATATTTCAAAAGAAAAACAGAAAATCGTACCAACCGAATAGGCCAGCAATAGAAATTTATGGTAAAATTATGGTAATGGCAAAACTTAAATAATACATTAAATTGATAATTACCGATAATTTTATCGAAAAGGCGTTATAAGTTGTTTATTAATAAGTACCTAACATGTACAAACGAAAAAAAAGATTTTTAGTAAGTTAGGTTCTTATGGAACCGAGGTCACACCAGTTAAAATCAAAGTCACATAGCTCAACTATAAATGAGTCTTAGAACATAAACTAAGTTTTTCCAGTTCATAACAATGTAATAAACATATTTCAAATGAAAAACAGAAAATCGTACCAACCGAATAGGCCAGCAATAGAAATTTATGGCAATTTCTTATTTTCTTGAGGTCCTGTTTTGTTTACAATTTGCTTCCCGTTATTACAGCCATTTAAAGCCTCGTTTAACTAAATAATACGATCTAATCATAAACAATAACCTGTACCCAAGTTATATAACCAAACAGTAAAGCACAAATCAAGAAATTAACCCTAAAATAATAGAAACAAAGTTTCGTGGACACTAGCGCCCATGTGTCACGTACATGAACTAGATACGAAAAACGAGCTTCAAAATTTACAATGGGATGAGAAGTCTTCTTGTGATTGTTAGTCTATGGTCCTAGGATAGGCTTTAGGCGTTTACTTTGTTTACAACTCCTTAACATTAATTCATTTATGCAGTTGTTTACATATATTTTAGACACTTGGTATAATCAACGCTTGGCGGGAGCAACCGAACGCCATCTTGGCCGTGTGCCGGCAAAAAAAAGTTCCCGCCACTTGATATTTTGGAGGTTATGTCGTCGGCTCTATGACGAATGCTGCTGTGACGCCATCATTGTTATGACGTTTTACTGTGACGTATATTCGTCGGAGGGGAAGTAGGAGAAGTGGAATGGGTTATTGCTCATCTATTGCCAGTTTCACGCCGATCCGAGCGCGATCTGGCGATTTTTAGGTTAAAATTTTGTAAAAATCGAATTTTCGATATTTCGACCAACGAAAATCGATGTATCGCATCTAGTAACTTTCGACTCAATGTTTATATATGGGTTAAAAGAATCCGAGTATCCATTCGGTTGTTATGACAGCTGTTCGATCATTACGAAACGTCCGGTCAGCCGGACGTTGGCACTTTTGGCTCGTTCTAAAAACGTCCGGTCGGCCGGACGTCGGCACTTTTGGCTCGTTTTAAAAACGTCCGGTTCCCCGGACGTTGGCACTCAAAGGGTTAACCTAACCTATCTAACCAAACGATATATCGAATGAAACAATCGAATAATCGATATTTTCATTCGAATGAGTGTAGGACCTAAAGTAAAGTGCAGCCACGCCCAATCTAAGCCTAGGTTTAATATAATGAAGATAGGCAAGCCCATAGTAGGACTAGGCCTAGGCCTTATTAAAAATGGCTCTTACCAAAATTTCAAGATTATAATTTGATATAGGCCTGAAAGCAAATCAAATCAGACACAATGTTCAAAGGCCTAAACCACATCATAACAGCGGCTAGGAATAGGCCTAGGCTACATGCACCAACGTCAGGGCTAACTTACTTTTAAAATTTGAAATTGCACATCAGTGTTCCCTTGATCAAAACTAGACCTAGGCCTATTTTTAATTTTTTATTAAATTCATAACCGTCATAACATGCTCATGAAAATGGGTGTTTTAATAACTTGTTTTATTGTAGCCTAGGCCTAATAAAAGACACAATTTAACACTTACCGTCACCAGGAGAAATTGTCAGTACCTCAACACCCATGTCGAAAATGTAATTTCCAAAAGTTAAAGTAAAAAGAAGAAAGTATAATGCAAATTGCACGGATGAAAATTAAACTATAGGTTTGGGGACGAAATTTATGACAAAGCTGAAAGTTCTACAATGTGGACCGGCTTTTGGAAATAAAATGACGAATGCGTTGCGTACACCTAACTAACTAACACTTCTTCCGCTTCTACTTCTACTTCTACGCTGCGCTCGATTCGCTATCGCTTCGCTATCTCGTGCGAAACTACTGTACTGTACTGTACTGTGTCGTGCTTCTTTCTGTCTGTCCTCTCGCTCTCAACCACCACTCACTCAGTCTCAGTCTTAGGCCGTCGACACACGGGAAGACTGTTTTCCAACTGAAATCGGCAACCAGTTGGACAAACTAGTCGCCTACGTCCCGACCAATGTACAGTTCAGCCGCCTATCTGTGCGCGCGAGCCCTTCGCTACTATCCTTGCAGAAAACCTACGGTAGGGGCGACTGAGGGCATTGTTCGCTCATTTCCACCAACCCAATAGTAATTCACAACTAATTTTGCACTCGAACTTCATTCATATTTACCTTTAATATGCACTTTAGAAGGGCATTGGTACCTCATAAAAATATTTTAATTTTACTAAAACTGTGCTGCCTTGTTATTCCATGTTTGTATAGCTAAAGGTCAAGTTAATAAGAATAACAAAAGAGTTTTTATAAATTATTTAATATGGTAAATATTACGGATTCACCATAACATGACCAATTTTAACACTGCTCTAGAATATATTTTCAAACATCATAGCGATTGGTGTGTTGTTAATAAACACAAACTTGTGCTGGGTTATTCCTTTTTTCAACATTTTAATAAGGTAATATCCTTATTGACATCGTTAAAACTAACAATTGAGAAAATATGTAATGTGAATAGTTTACCGTTTATTGTTGCTGAAAAACCGCATAATATGTCCAATTGGAATGTAACAAAAACAGAAATGATTGCTATGTCACTGTTAATAATATAGGACCATGACCTCGTATTTCCTAAGTAAAATTTACATAATTCAAAATTGTACTAGGTCGTACACGGAAGCGTCACTAACAAAATTACACCTTCAGGCCAGTTTGGGCTGCCTCAACTTCCCGTTGCCGTTTTGGGGTAACCAATGTTTTTAGAAAAGAGCCCCCTCCCACCCTCCCGCCATGCAACCTGACCACCGGCCCGCGCGCACAGATAGACGGCTGAACTGTAGTTAGGTGGGACAGTACACACGGTGCGACTGCGATGCGACCAGTTGAGGACCAGTCGGCGATCAGTCGTTAAGCAACCGGACCTGCCGGTTGCTAGGTGATTTCAGTCGCCTGGTTTGAACAACTTTTTGCATATTTGTATTGCACTTTTATCCTTTTTTTAGGATCAGGTATACCAACTGCGATAACTCTTCTTAAGCAATTTTTGACATTCTGTACATAGACTGAAATTTTGCGTCTGTTTCTTGTAATGCAGCAGCAGCTACAAAGAGCCTGCATAAAATATTTGTTTTAACATAAGGATGTACCCAACACCTTCTACTCTACGCTTTCTTGATGGTTTATAAAACACCAGGGCTTCTTCATCACTATTACTCATTTTAAACACCATACACAGTAAGCCTACACAGCATCATTATAACAATTATCAATTATCAATTATCAATTATTTAAGATGGGGACGCCACTATGTGCGTAACAAAATTAGAATTCATTCACTGTCTCAACTCAACTACAGTCACGACCGTGTGCGGATTTAACCAACGCAACTGCAACCGTAATCGCGTCACAAAACAGTTGGCTCAACTTTAGTTGGGTTTCAGTCTACCCGTGTGTCGACCGCCTTACGCTCACCCACACCAGTCACCCGTCCCATTCCCACCAAGCGGTTGTCAGTTAATTAAACCACGGCCGCCTAGTCCGCGGCCTGGGCCTGGTAGAATTGGCAACATTACAAGTGGTGTTATTTATAAGAAATAAACAATTATAGTAACAGACGTCCCATAGGATAACATGGCAGACAGGTGACATCAGCTCATTAATTCACACTTTATTGATTTAAATTTATAAACATAAATTTATTAAAATATTGAAAATAAAACATACAGAATTGAAAACCGAAACAATATGAATTACAAATCTATATCTGTACATTTTAAGCGGAGTCAATATTGTCATAGTCCAGTAACCAATCCTTCGTAAATACACAAATACCATTAGCTGCTTCCAAACAAAACAGCTGTTACAACACCACTTGCGACGTTGCTACTTCGAAAGCCCCGGCCTGGGGCGGCCGTGGTTAAACCATAGATAAAAAAAACATAGTCTCTTAGGGGAGGGGTCACCGGAAGACTGCCCCCAGGACAACTACCCCCCCACCCCAAACAGGTCCCTACTTCATATTGACGTCAGAGACCGGGGGGGGGGCAGTTTTCCAGTCACGGACACTCAAATTCAGTTGTCAAAAACAATTCTAAACTAACCTAACCTAACCAACCAAACTTGCTGTAACATTTCGAAATTCTATTTTATATTCCCCACATGCATTTTCTATTATCCAACGAAATGACTCGAACTAAAATTACAATTACATAGCATGATTTGTCTAGGGGAAGGGTAGTATTCCAGTCGCGGACACGGCTTCCATATTTGTTAGTTGGCAGATTTTGTGACGTCACGTTTCACCTAGGGGGTGGTTTTCCGGGAGATAGTATTCCGCATCCCCGTTTTATCTATGGTTAAACTGTAACGCGCTTTTGCCCTTGCCGTGCAGGTAGAGCGGAGCAAACCAGAAAATGCAACTGTTCATGAGGAATACAAGAATGGTTGTGTTTAAAATAAGTTATTGATTTAAAATACTTATTTACCTCCATAGTAATTTTTCAAAAATAGAGTTCGATTAAGACATTATAACTGTAGGGACGTTGTTGTTTTGTATAGGAGATAATGTATACACATAACTTAAGTAGGTACCACGAGAACTTGTTTTGCTATATAGCTTTGGAGATAAAGATTATGTAAAGTTTGCTCTTCGCTCTATAAGCTGAATATATATTTTAATAATTACTATTTTTTGGCAAGTTTTTATAATTTTGTCCATTGCAGAGAAGTCACCGCCTGTTAATAATTTTGTTAGTCAAGAATGCTAGAAGAAGCTTGGCATGTTATTATTATTATTTATTGTATTGTTGACGTAGCCTATTGTCTTGTAAGAACTGAATGGCCTAATAAATCATTTGAATCATTTGTTGAACGTAATTCATCTACCGTTACCACTACCGCTAAAACGTTCAAGATAAAACCGTGGATAACTAACGGTCTCTTAAAATCAATACGTTTTTACAAAAATAAAATCAATGATGCTCAAGGAGATTCAAAGAAATTTTGGAATATAGTGAACGAAGTAGCGGGTCGCGCAGATCCCAAATGCAAATTTCCAGTCGGCGCATTTGGAGCACACAGCGACACTGTCCCCTCCATCTGTGATAAATTTAACAAATACTTTGCTTCCGTCGGATCCCAGCTAGCCGGGGCTTTGCAGCCTGTTGGTCCTGTCGAAATGGAGGATGCTGATTTTGCTGTGAACTCCCAGTTCTCACTGGAACCAATTACCCACCAAGATTTACTAGACGTGGACCAAAATCAGAGGAGACTCGGCACCTGGGTATGATGGCATTTCCTCTAAACTGAAAAAGCATAGACGTCTTACACCAACCCTTATTTCACATTGTAAATTTAAGTATATCAACTAATACTTTTCCAAATCCTTACAAAATCGCCAAAGTAATCCCGATCTATAAATCAGGCCCAAAGAATGTGATAGCAAATTTTATACCTATTTCTTTAATTAGTGCGGTATCCAAGATAATTGAAAAATGTGTCAAGAAACAGTTGTATGGATATCTCGAGGAAAATAATATCATTAACAACGCACAGTTTGGGTTCAGAGCTAACGTAAGCACTACCCATGCCTTATTTAATATCTCAAAACATATTTATGAAAAAAATTGATGATAAAAAACGTGTGCTTGTAACCTTTTTAGACTTGGCCAAAGCATTAGATTCTATTGATAGGCATAAATTAACCACAAAACTGCAGTTGGTAGGCGTTGACAACCCATCACTTGACTGGTTCCGCAGCTATTTGACTGGTCGATCACAGTTCGTTACTATCAATGGCAAAAATAGTATATCACTAACATTGACTATGGTGTCGTCCAAGGAAGTAACCTAGGCCCTCTTCTCTTTTTAATATATATCAATAACATTACTAAATTAAGAGTCGATAGTTAAATTGTTTCTTTTTGCTGACAACACAGGTCAGTGCCCTCCGCTAATACGTGGGACGATGTTTACCATCAAGCTGCATCTGACTTACTTAAAATAAAAAAAAATGGCTGGATCATAATACATTGGCATTGAATGTATCAAAAAGCAAGTGTATGCCAGTTTTCTTATCTCGAACTCGTGACCCTAGCCCTAGAAAACTCTATCTTCATTCATGTGGTGATCTGTGGTCTAATACCTGCGGATGTGACACAGTCGATCGTGTGGACCAAGACAAGTACCTTGGGGTGATCATTGATCAAAGGCTGACAACCCAGAAAACCTAAATCAAAATTATTCTTAAAAGGCCGAAACATTATTCAACTAATTTACTTTTTTCCGAATTCCCAGTTTTAGTATTAGACAATCGTTTATCAAAACACTATTACTTTTCATTAAGAACAACAAGGAAATTATTTTTTCTAACTTACAACACACATTTATCACACTAGACACAGGCATAGCTTTGGAATTTGGATACCACACTCCACAACTAGTCTATAGTTCATTGAAAAATAACGTGTTTTACATAGCTCACATCCTTTATTGCAACTTGCCGCCCAACATAACTGATGCTGAATCAGGCAGTGTCGCTGTGTATAAAAGCAAGGTCTGTGAGTGGCTGATGACTGTGGCACGAGAGGCTGCAGAGGCTTTAATTCGCTCGCCTTACATTTAAATTCATCTCTGACATCAAACACCCCCATAATAGCTACCAAAATACATTTTTCTTCATGGATTAATATTTTTATTGTTGCTTAAGGCTGTTTATTGTTAAATAATTCTAGTATACAACATATTTATATAGCATATATATTTTTAAGAGCTCCTGATACATATTTAAGTATAGATGTACACATTATTTTATAAACAGTGTGCATATGTTTTTGACCTATGGACAATAACCAAAACATATTTCCTGAAAGTGATTTTCGATTTTGATTTGATCATTCAATGTTGTGTATTATGCCATTTTATTAGCCATGGAGCATTGGATGGTAAACACTATACGTTTGGTTTGACTATTATGAATATGTGCAAAATGTTGTGCCTATCACGGCAGAGCTGGAACTCTTTTTTAGTTCCCTTTCATCTAAGACGCCATGATATAATTTCCAGCCAAAATACAATTCTCAAGTAGGTTAACAATTTGAGGAAAAGAGGATCCATCCAAAAAAAGAAGCTGCTCGGCCGTAAAAATCATAAGTCGTTTATTGCCACAAAAACGTTTACATTTTTCTGGTTTTCCCTAGATGAAAAATGTGACATTGTCAATTATACACACTAAACATATAACATAAATAAACTAACAACACAAATTGATTTTACATTTTTCATTTAAATTATAAATAGTCTTCCCAGTTGTCATCAAAAAGTCATCGATAGAATAGTGAACTCTATTAATTAAAATTTTCTTTACATTCCTCGATGTACTCTTCGATTTACTAAAATGTTGAATTAGGAAGTGTTTTACAAATCTTTATACTCATATACTGTGGACCTTTTTCAAGTGGTGAGAAGGCTCGTTGCGGCCTACCAGCGAACTACAGATCTATACGCAAAAACAGCCCTAACATTAAAAAAACGCCCTCGAATGTTTAATAAATAGTTTATTTCTTTATTGGCAAGAGTTAAGAAACATTGTAATGAAAATAAAACTTATATTTGTCACAAAATCAAATCAGTAATGCTTACTTTAAAAATGTCCGGTTTATTCTCGGTCACCTTTTTATCTATATATAAAAATGTTTAATGAACAAAGGCGATTAGTATCTCGGCAATATTTTACGTTACATGATTATTTCCATTCAGTGTTAAACCTTTCAAATGCTATATTTTTCCTGTACTATCTTAATTTTTATCAACTAAACTTTTATCAATAAAAGGCATTTCCTATATTTAACGCGCAAACTGAACGCGTGATATATGCGTGCATTCATGTTTCACACTGTATCGTTTTGTATATATTTACCTCAGAAACTAGTTTTTTTATTATTTATCTTTTCTTGTAAACAAAATTCTGTGTACAATGTATATTACTTTCCATTTATAAAAGTAGCCTAAATTTATTGTTTTATTGTGCGGATGATGGACTCAATCCCCAACCACAGGCATTAGCCCATTTGGGGATTACATTTCAGTAATTGTTGTTTGTACCATTGTAAATGATGTTCTGTAATGAAATAAAAAGGATTCATTCATTCATTCATTCATAATTAAATTTAATACATCCATAAAAGTTTTATTAGGATTTTAAGTCTCTTAAAAACAATCAAGATTGTGGTCTTGTGCAAATTAAAATAAAATATTCTCAGTGGGATCTACAGCGGCATTGACAAACTTTATAATTATCCTTGTAAAATTTTAAGGAAAACCCCACGCTGTGTAATGACTCATGTTTCATTTAATATACAGGGTGTTAAAAAAAGGTGAGGACATATTTTATCTGGTGATCCCTCGGGTCAAAGTAAAGAGAAAATCAAGAATAACATAATTTTCCAAAATCACTTCATTAACCAGATATCCGCCATTTTGAATGTTTCACATAAACATTTTTATCTTTTAATATTTTCAACCGATCTTTATGAAACTTGGTATGTGTGTTAAGGTAGAAGAGATCCGTGTTAGAATAAATATTCATCTTGATTCAACCTAAAGCCCCCCATACACGGGCGAGCATGTTCGCAAGCATGCTCGTGACGGTGTTGGCGACGAACATGCTCGCCCGTGTGTGGGATCCGTCGCGGCGGGCATGTTGGGCTCGGCGCGTCAGACCTGACGAGCCCAAATACGAACATGCTCGCACGTCTCTTGGCAACGCCGAGCATGTTCGCGAGCATGTTCACCAACATGCTCGCGAATATGCTCGCCCGTGTATGGGGGGCTTAACATTCAAAATGGTGACCGTTTAAAATCTTTAAATCTAAATTACTAAAAAAGAGTTTATAATTATAAAAACAAATAATTTAGTATATTGAAGCGTTATTGTGCGCCTAATGGTTGCGGAGAAAATTCCAAAAGATTGTAAATTTAAAATTACCATGTTATTCTTTTGGCTATATGAGAATAAGTCAACTGTTGTAGTTTGCTTGTTTATGAACATTTTTTGATCGAATTTGGAAAATACATTCATTTCTTAAAACAAACATTCATTTCATTCTATTGACATTTTGCAACAAAGAACACTTTTTTACCCTCTCTGTTGCAGCAAACCTAAGTACTCGTTAAACTAATTGTATTTAAATAAGGAATAAATGTGATATTTTTAAGGAGGCATTTTAGTGTAAATCCAATCAGGCAAATGGAAATTCAATTAGTCTGCAGGTTTGCTGCGGCGGGGGTTTTAGAACTTGGTATTGTTTCATAGGTAATTTTACATGCTAAATAAAAGTGTTCTTAACATTTTTTCATAAAATCAGGCATTTTTGAGTACCTAATTTAAGTTTAAATTTTTAAATGGCCGCCATTGTAAAATTTTGGTTGAATCAAGATGAATCTTTTTTATAACACGGGTCTCTTTTATCTTAACATACATACCAAGTTTCACAAGGATCAGTTGAAAATACTAAAAGATAAAAATGTTTATGTAATAAATACAAAATGGCGAATATCTGGTTAAAGAATAGATTTTGGAAGAACATGTATTCTTGATTTTCTCTTTATTTTGGCACTAGGTAAAATATGTCCCCACCTTTTTTGATTACCCTGTATATTACACTACACTTACCAAAAATTTTTCAAATAGAGCCTGTTGGTTTTGAAGGATTTTCTACATGTACTGCACTTAATATGAGGTCACTCTCCGGTACTAATTAATGTATGTCTCTTCATGTTGTCCTTGACTTATAAGGTCGCTCTACTGTGTGAACTAATGTGAATCTTCATACTCCCCTTGGTTTGAAGAGATTTTCCACAAATGTTACACTTATGACGTCGCTCTTCGTTGTGTACTAATTCATGTCTCTTTACATGGCTACTGCTTTGGAATGATTTTCCACATGTAGTGCATTTATAAGGTCGCTCTCCCGTGTGAACCAATGTATGAAACTTCATACCGTTCTTGCTTGTGAAGTATTTTCCACATGTAGTGCACTTATAAGGTTGCTCTACTGTGTGAACCAATGTATGAATCTTCATACCGTTCTTGGTTGTGAAGAATTTTCCACATGTGATGCACTTATGACATCGCTCTCCGGTGTGTATTAATTTATGTCTTTTTACATTGCTAAAGGTTTGGAATGATTTTCCACATGTAGTGCACTTATAAGGTCGCTCTCCCGTGTGAACCAATGTATGAACCTTCATACCGTTCTTGGTTGTGAAGAATTTTCCACATGTGGTGCACTTATGAGTTTGCTTTCTTGTGTGAACTAATGTATGAATCTTCATACTGTTCTTGCTTTTAAAGGATTTTCCACATATAGTACACTTATAAAGTTGCTCTCTGGTGTGAAGCAATGCATGTTGCTTCATTCTAGTAATGGTTTTAAAGCGTTTTCCACATACATTACATTCATATGGTCGCTCTCCTGTGTGAACCAATGTATGAATCTTCATACTGTTCTTGGTTTTGAAGGATTTTCCGCATATAGTACACTTATAAAGTCGCTCTCCGGTGTGAACCAATGTATGTTGCTTCATTTTAGTACTGGTTTGGAAGGATTTTCCACATATAATGCACTTATGAGGTCGCTCTCCGGTGTGAACCAATGTATGTCTTTTCATATTGCTACTGGATGTGAATGATTTTCCACATGTAGTGCACTTATGAGGTCGCTCTCCTGTGTGAATCAATGTATGGTTCTTCAAATAGCCGCTGGATATGAAGGATTTTCCACATTTAGTGCATTTATAAGGACACTTCCCAGAATGTGTCAACAAATGATTCTTTACATTACGTTTTTGAATAAATGTTTTCTCACATTTCAAACATCTAAAGGGACACTCGCCTGTGTGTAAATATATATGACGCTTCATTCCTAATAGAGTAAAAAACATTTTTCTACATATTGGACACTCGAGGAAAGGTTTTTTAGTGTTCTTAAACATCTTTTAGTTTTTAATTTCTGACTTCTTACTTTAAATACTTGCTAGAAACAAACTAGAACTAGTTGGTTTCTCTTTGTATGTATATTTCTGTTGTTTATCTTTGATGTAAGTGTATCAATCAACTTTAAAACAACTCTTGCTCAAATATTGTTTTGTATTAAATTGCATACAGCATTGCCTACTTGAAACAAATTGATTTTTTTTCTTGAATTTTATGTCCCATCATGTCAAATTAGTCTTCTCATTTAAAAGAAAAAAGTTGCTTCTAGGTTTAATTGTTTTTCAAATAATATTGCATCAGCCATATTCAAGTTGTGTATAATTTTAATTTATGTTTTACATAGTTAATTACTTACTTTAATTAGCACTTCTAGAGTGGAAATAAATTATCTTTTTTAGCTGCTGTTCTAAGTATTACATCAGCTTGTTAATATAATTCCTTTCCTCTTCAAATCTATTGCCTCTTCTGAAAAAGACCATATTTTATTAAATATATGCATTTGTTGTAATCATTAAGGTATTTTTTTATGTTTATTTAGCTTGAACAATTAATTTGCAACTTAACGCTGCATTTAGTTTTAAAATACTTTAATACTTTTAACTGAAATGGCGACCATACGAAGGTAGGCATTTTAAGCCAAGTATGAATGCAGATGAGTGTAGGAAGAGTGGCGCGATCTTGTAGTCTTGTAGTGACTAAGCCCAACATGTTCCTTAGAGAGGACTGTTATTTAATAACCCACACAGTTAATGGCAACCATGGTACCTACAGTTTATAGTGGAATCCAAACCACATTTTTGTTTGTAATTAACAAATTGGTCTAATTGTCAGAGTGAGAGGGGATCTTTCACTTTGGTGTATTCAACAAATAAATATAGACATAGGTATATGGGTAGAAAAAGTGGAGAGCTGACAACAGAACGAGTGCTGTTCTATTCTTTGCCGTGGGGATTATAAACTGTCAAAACCGTCAGATAGGCCCGAGTGCTGTTTGAATCCTCAGAGCGTAATATTCTCTTTGTAATTTCCTCTTGTATTCTTCAATGTGTTTCTTCAACTATGGATGACATATGGAGAAAGCTGACCTGCTGCCTGGTCCACAAAGTGCTCAAGCTGGAAGAGCCTCATTACTTCAGCGAGATGCTGAAGTACAGGGAGGAGATCTGTCTATGTAGTAGTCCCTCCGACCACAAGCCTTACTTTCAAAAGTGAGGCTCGAGGTTGGAAGAAGGTGACTTTTTCTTATTTCGGCTTGAGGTTCTATAATGGCCTACCTCAAGAGATTAAGAATTCAAAATCATATAGCTCATTCAAGGCCGCAGTGAAAAAAAAATGCCCCTGCCGCAGCAAACCTGCAGACTAAGCAAGTTTCCATTTGCTTGATTGGATTTACAATAAAATATCTCCTTAAAAATATCACAAAATTATTCCCTATTTTATTTAAATACATTAGTTTAACAAGTACTTAGGTTTGCTACAACAGGGAAGGTTTACAAGTTTTTTTTTTGTGAAATGTTAATACAGTACTGTATGTAGTTTAGTGTGAAATTATTGCATTTTCCAAATTTGATCAAAATATGTTCATAAACAAGCAAACTAAGTAACAAGTTATTTATTCTCCATATTAACTTGAACATCTCCATCTGCAAATTTGACTCAATTTGCCTCCTTTTCTGAACACAAATAATTTTTTATTTTGTTAAATTAACTTTTAAGTTCCAACAATCACAATATTTGTCCAAATTCGAAATTATTAGTTGAAGACAGGTTGCCGTAGAAGCTAAAAACACAATATCATCGCGTAAATTATAGTCCGTCCGTTTGGCTATGATACCCAGCGGATTAGGAACCTTCTCAGAACTCCACTCACCTTTCAGACCCGCTCGCCAGGCTGGCCGTTAATAAAAAGTTTACCTACCTACTGTAACAGTCCCTCAGATCTTTAACTTTTTAAATTTTAAGTTAAAATAAATTGTTCTTTGTATATTTAAGTTCTACATGAAATTCCAAAAATAATGAGTCCAAACACAATGTGGATACTTAATATCTACGATCTGAAAGTCGAACAAAGCTGGTGACTATACAGAGTAATTGTACTACTTTCAGATCGTAGATATTAAGTATCCACATCGTGTTTGGGCTCATTATTTTTTTAATTTCCTGGACCCGGGACCGATTTACTTTTTGTTTTGAGGTCCCTAGAGACCAAAAACACCATCCGTTCAAATTCTTTTTTGCAAAGTTTTTTCACTTTTTGCAAAGCTTCACTGTACAATTTTTAATATATATATGTCCGTTAGCGTGATAACTCGAGCAAAAATCATCCGATTTTGATGAAATTTGGTACAAACGTGTAAACGTAAACTTACATTTATTCTAACTAGTTCGCGAACCAGCATGATCGGACTATGGGGACAGGGGTTTATGGGGTAAAAATAGGTTTTTCGTTTCTTTCCCAACATGATAGAGCTTACAACCATTTTGTAGAGCTTAAAAAAAAATAATTTAGGATATTGAAGCATTGTTGTATGCCTAATGGTTACGGAGAAAACTAAAAAAGTATAAATTTGAAATTCTAATGTTATTCTTATGGAGAAAGTTGTAAACTGTTGTTGCTTGTTTAAGAGCATATTTTGATCAAATTTGGAAAATGTGTTAATTTCATACTAAACTATTAACATTTTACAACAAAATCACCTTTTTACCCTCCCTGTTGCAGCAAACCTAAGTATTTGTTAAACTAATGCTATTTAAATATGGAATAAATGTGATATTTTTAAGGAGACATTTTAGTGTAAATCCAATCAGGCAAATGGAAATTCGCTTAGTCTGCTGGTTTGCTGCGGGGGGTATTACACTTTACCCTAGAGAGCACAATTTCAAGTTTATGCAGTGTAAAGCTGGCGTCGAGATCGTTATCAACAATCAGGGGAAAAGCAAAGCTGACGCTAGCAGACGACAGCAGTTGGTCGAGTAAGTTCTGGAATTTGTTGACCCTGTGACATGTTATTTCCTGCAATCCTATCGCTACCCTTTCTTTTTAAAGTCCCCATTGCTTTCCAAAAAGTGTGTGCGTCTCTTACATCCTTTAAATTGTCAATCAATAGCGCAAAGTGTGTTTTTTCTTATCCCTACACAATTTTTCAAACAGTCGTTGGCATACTAAATATCTAGCTATTATAATGTTGGAATTGGTTTTTCAAAATAAATTTAAAGAGTCAATCAAAATCAAACCATGGTTCCTTGTTCCATAAAACATTTTTTCTGTAAACTAGTCTTTACTTTTGCAGCCTGTAAAAACTTTCGTTATCAAATCTACTTTTAAATCATTATCTTCACTCAACACAAAGTGTGTACTAAATAAGCTTATCCCTGTAATCTGTATTATCTTGTAGCTTCCAAATCAACTTTGGCAACAATGGAATCACACCTCTTCCCCAACACCCCTTACCACCAACCACCGCCACAGGACTGCCAACACTAAAACTGACCTCTATGGGCAAGTGATCTGAACCAGGGCGTTCAAACACTTTAAAGTCATGTACATAGTTCAGAAAATCAGCTGATACTATAACTAGATCAATAACCGAACAACCCCTGGCCATAAAAGTTATCTCTCCTTCTGAATCACCTGTCGACCTTCCATTTAAAACAACTAACCCACTATTATCAATAAAATCAAGAATAATGTTGCCCTTATTATTTATTATCTTGTCTTTCGATTGACCTTTGATTGTTTAATGTATTATCAATCCAATTAATAATAATAATGATTAATAATGAAGTTACAGTATCTTTCTTTGTTTCTGATGCTCGCAAGAGTTCTTTTTAGTTTTTAATTTAAATGTATATTTTTTGTGTTAAAAAATTAGTTTTCCACTGAATGAACTTAATTTTAATAGTGTGTAATTAAGTGATGGTAACCTCAACACAGGGTTCCCCCCTAGAGAGGTCCCTATATTTTCCACAAATTTTTGCAAAGCTTCACTGTACAATTTTTAAATATGGAAAGTAAACAGATTAATTTCTTTCCTTAAATAAATACCCCCATCGAATAAATCTGTCATCTCTTGTCCAATGGCCCCATTTAAATAACCAATAATAAGTAAATGTTTACTGTAATAATTTTGTACCCCCTTCACTAATAGTTTAACATCATCCCAATTATTGAAATTTAAGTAAACAGAAAGACAAAAAATACTTTGTTCCCCTTTAATTACTTTCACTTCTATTAAAAAAAGGTCACTTAACTGCACAAAAGACAGTTTATTAAATAAGCAGATGCTAAGTTCAATAAGGCAACCATACTACTGATGCACATGACTGTGTTTTCTAACAGCAGGTTCAAAGTGAAGTTTAAAATTTTTAAATTTACAGACTAACCAATCTTTTTATCCTGCTCAGAAATGAAAGATTCAATTAAAATTATATTGTCATAATTCACAAAATAAATTTTGATACATTAATACTGTAGTAGGGATTTTTCAGAAAGAAACATGAATATTTTTCTCAAACAACTCCAATATGAAGACCTTTACATGGCTAGGGTAGAGGATAAGTTTTAAACTTTTGAAAACATATTTCGATACTATTTTAACTTAGTATTTCCTAAAAAGAAAGTAAAAAGGAATTTAAATAAAAATAAGTGTGGCTGGATTGGTGCAGATAGTATTACTGTAATATAGATTTCAATGCACCCCAGTCAATGAGAAAGAGATAAAAAACACATCATCTTGTCCCTTAAAAATAAACTAACCACTGCTTTGTTAGAGTTTACGGAGACTATTTATAGAATCGGTTGAGAAAGGAAATAAAGTAGTTGGTATTTTTATGGACCTCACAAAAGCGTTTGACAGTATCTCACACAAAATTCTTTTAAATAAATAAAAAATCTAGGTTTGCCTTACTTACAGTTAAAATGGTTTGAATCATATCTATTAAACAGAAAACAGTATGCGGAAATTACATCAATCAAAGACAACCAAGTTTTAAATCACAATTATAATATAATGGAAATCAAACATGGCGTCTCTCAGGGATCAAATCTATATCAATCCCTCTATTATAAATAATACTAATGACACATACAGCAATTTGGTTCTCTATGCTGATGATTCGAATCTAATAAAAACATCTAAAACACATCAAGGTCTTGAAAAATCGTGTAAGGAACAGATAAAAAATATCAAATCTTATTTCACTAGAAATTGTTTATTATTGAACGTGGAGAAAACTAATAAAATGTTTTTTTCAAGGGCATAGAGCAAAGAAAAACCTACCATAAGTATAACCATTAATAACAGTGAAATAAATACTATAAATGTCACAATATATTTAGAGATAGAGATTGATAATAATTTGAGTTGGGATGATCATGTTCAAAAAGTAACTGATATAATTTCTATAGGATTATTTTTTATAGGAATTATTCCTATATTTCTATAGGAATATTTTATATAGGATGTCATTTTTATGTAACCTTGATACTCTAAAATCAATACATTATGCTCATTAACATTTATCGTACGAGCTAGCAATTTATGGGGGCACTACAAAGCAAAACTTAGACAAAATCTTAAAACTTCAAAAAAGAACTTATCTCCTAACGAAAAATTGCTACTCCATAGAAGAATTTTTATTCAAATCACCAATTAAATCTGACAACAATCTTAGTTTTAAATTTATCAGTTTGTAACATATATATTTTTCATATTTGAATTTTGCGTATGCTTACAGTTCTTAATGTATAGATTTGTTTCTATTAAAAATCAGTTTTTTTATAAAACCAATATTATTAATTATATATTAAGATTTCTGTAAAATTTGTGTAACCTATGTATTAGTGTATTGACTCTATTCATGTATGTACATACAGACCGAATAAAGATTATTGATTCTGATGTCATAACGATTTAAAAATTAAAAAAAGATTCCTCGGTTATAAACCACAAACATTAAATGATAATAGGCCTACCTTAAATAAATCTAAACTGCCTTCTAACAGTCTACATCACTAACTCGTCCTCTCACTGTGGGGCTGGAGTTGACACCTCATGCCTTGGCCGGTGACTTGGTCCCGTTCGACGTCCCTCGCACCACCTCTGCCGCTGTCAGTGCCACCTGCCTGTGTAGTGTCGCTGCTGTCGACCTTTGTCGGATCCTGTGTGAAGCTTCTCTCCATGGCATGTTGGGAACTCTGCTTAGCCAGAAAGTCACTTAGGTCCAAGTTAAACATGCTACGGAGCTTGGCCACACCATCTTCCTTCCCTGCCCGAAGCTGCCCATCTTTCCACTTAAAACGGAAACCATGTATGTCAAGATGATCAAAGATCAATGCCATCTTCACCTTTTTCTGCCACCTTACTCCCATGAGACACGAACGATTGGAACGTTCTTGTGAACTAATGTATGTTGCTTCAAACATTGCTTGCTTTTAAAGGATTTTCCACATAAAGTACACTTATGAGGTTGCTCTTTTGTGTGAACTAATTTATGTATTTTCATATTGCTAATGGTTGTGAATGATTTTCCACATATAGTGCACTTATGAGGTCGCTCTCCGGTGTGAACAAATGTATGTATTTTCATATCGCTAATGGTTGTGAATGATTTTCCACATATAATGCATTTATGAGGTCGCTCTCCGGTGTGAACAAATGTATGTCTTTTCATAGTGCTAATGGTTGTGAATGATTTTCCACATGTAGTGCACTTATAAGGTCGCTCTCCCGTGTGAACCAATGTATGAATCTTCATACCACTCTTGCTTGTGACGAATTTTCCACATGTAGTGCACTTATGAGTTTGCTTTCTTGTGTGAACTAATGTATGTTGCTTCAAACAATGCTTGCTTTTAAAGGATTTTCCACATATAGTACACTTAAAAAGTCGCTCTTTGGTGTGAAGCAATGCATGTCGCTTCATTTGTGTATGGGTTTTGAAGGGCTTTCCACATACAGTGCAATCATAAGGTAGCTCTCCTATGTGAAGCAATATATGATTCCTTACATAACTTTTCCTTTTGAAGGATTTTCCACATGTAGTGCACTGATGAGGTCGCTCTCCTGTGTGAACCAATGTATGAATCTTCAAACTGTTCTTTGTTTTGAATAATTTTCCGCATACAGTACACTTATAAAGTCGCTCTCCTGTGTGAACCAATGTATGATTCTTTATACTGTTCTTGGTTTTGAAGGATTTTCCACATATAATGCACTTATGAGGTCGCTCTCCTGTATGAGTCAATGCATGACTTTTCATATTGCTACTGGATGTGAAGGATTTTCCACATATAGTGCATTTACAATGATACTTCCAAGGCCACTTCCCAGAATGTGTCAACAAATGATACTTCACTTGGGTTATTTGAATAAATGTTTTCTCACATTTCAAACATCTAAAGGGACGCTCGCCTGTGTGTAAATATATGTGACCCTTCATTCCTAATAGAGTTAAAAACATTTTCCTACATATTGGACACTCGAGGGAAGGTTTTTTAGTGGTCATCTTATAGTTTTGAATTTCTAGCTTCTAACTTTAAATACTTGCTAGAAACTAATAAGAACTAGTCGGTTGGCTTTGTATGCGTATTTCCTTTGATATACGTGTATCAATCAACTTTAAAACAACTCTTGCTCAAATATTGTTTTGTATTAAATTGCTTACAGCATAGACTACTTGAAGCAATTTGATTTTTTTGCTTGACATTTATGTCCCATCATGTAAAACTAGTCTTCTCATTTAAAAGAAAAAGTAGCGTCTAGGTTTAGTTTTTTTATACTATTGCATCAGCCATATTCAAGTTGTGTATAATCTTTGACTTAGTCAATGGTGTAATTTAAATTTATGTTTTACATAGTCAATTACTGACTTTAATTTGCACTTCTCAAGTGGTAACAACTTATCTATTTAGCTGCTGTTTTAAGTACATCAGATTTTTAATATTATGTTTCTTGTGGCATGAATTGAAGTTGCCTTTCCTCTTCAAATCTATTGCCTCTTCTGAAAAAAATACCATATTTTATAAAATATACACATTAGTTGTAATCATTTAGGTATTTTTTATGTTTATTTAGCTTGACCAATTATTTTAAAACTTTACACTGCATTTTGTTTAACATACTTTAATACTTTTAATTGAAATGGCGACCATACGAAGGTAGGCATTTTAAGCCAAGTATGAATGCAAATGAGTGTAGGAAGAGTGGCGCGATCTTGTAGTCTTGTAGTGACTAAGCCCAACATGTTCCTTAGAGATGACTGTTATTTAATATCCCACACAGCTCGTGGTAAACATGGTACCTACAGTTTAAAGTGGAATCCAAACCACATTTTTGTTTTGTAATTAACGAATTGGTCTAATTGTCAGAGTGAGAGGGGATCTTTCACTTTGGTGTATTCAACAAATAAATAGGACATAGGTATATGGGTAGAAAAAGTGGGCAGCTGACAACATTGGGAAACAGACAGAGTAATGTTCTATTCTTTGCCGTGGGTGGGGATAATAAACTGTCAAAACCGTCAGATAGGTCTGAGTGCCGTTTGACTTCAGAGCGTAAGAGTGATTTGGGGGAGGAGTATTATTGGAAGAGGGTGTAGTGGGCAGGATGTAACTGAGACTGGACTACCCAAGAAGTTTCTTAACTGGACTACCCTAATATCGATTGAAAACTAATATTTATTCGATTATTAAACCTTCATTAAATTTTTTTCATAATCAGCAAGTTTGGTTAGGTTATAACGATTTCATTTTATCCCTAAATAAATATTGCTCATTCACTGTGGTCGACAGATCTAACAATAAAATTGTCTTCAGCTGATCGATAAGGATGAGAAATCTACTAAAGGTGTATCATCCATGGTAATAACTTCTTCTCCACTTTGAGCTATAGTTTTTTCTAGGTATACAATTTAAAATTAAATCACAAGATGTTTAATAAAGATCAGATATTTGTGTCTACCTAGATTTTTATGCGTAGTTTGAGATCCCCAAAAAGAAAGCTCTTGATATAATAGCTCTTAAGACGGATAACATGGCTGATGTAGAATTTTTTTCAGTATGTTAAGCTTGACTGTCTATTTTATACAAGGAGCTAATTGTCATTTTTTTTAATTTTTTATAGAATAAAATGAGCTGAATGGTGTAGGGTCAAGAAGAGGGATTATCACTAGGTAGGTGGAATACAGTTCAACTACAATACCTAAATAAGGTCAAACACTCAAGCAGTTAATGTTAATACAGTACCTTTTAATTCACTAGTGATACAACAATTAACAAATATACTTAAATTAATATATCAGTTAGTTTATGTAACTTTGTGAGACATGTAACTAATGTAGGTTTATCCTAATTTAAGATTTAATATAAATTCAATATAGTAATCAACCTCACAATACTTGTAATTATTTGTGTTGCGTAAAAAAAAAAAACAACACCCTGTATTCAAGTTGTTATATGTATGTAAAAAACTTATTTTAATAGTCATGGAGCACTAGATAATAAACACCATACACGTTTGACTATTGTGAATATGTGCGAAATGTCGTGCCTATCACGGCAGCGCAGGGACTTTTTATTAGTTCCCTTTCATCTTAGACGTCATGATTTAATAAATTCTCAGCTAAAATACAATTCTCAAGTAGGTTAAAATTTTGAGGAAAAGAGGACCCATCCGAAAAAGAGGCTGTTTGGCCAAACAAATAACTGTTCCCACATAGTACATTTTTAAAGGGCTCGGCAAGCTTTAAATACAAATTGAGGAATTAAATACAATGTGTTGATGTGCTCAAGAACTTTTTTAAGTCACAGGTAAGACGTTTGATAAACAAAATGTACCTTAGTTTATTTGCAACAAGATCCACCGTACATTCTACCATTGACCGTAAATACAACTCAGGATTCAATGGCATTGGTGTTGTGTATTAGAGGTTCCTATAAAGGGTTTATTTTGTGTTCCCGTGGTATTCTGTAGCCTCCACATTAAGAGATTTGTGCGTGTGTGTGAATTTTTTGTGGAGACGTTTCTCTGAACAAACCCCAAACTCTGATGGATCTTAAAGGACACTATTTACCAGGAAGTTGCAGAAATATTTTTTTTTTATGGAAGTGTAATGCAAGAAATTAAGAAAATAACTCAAACCTGTATGAATGAAAGTGGATTCCACCTGATATTTTCTAAAAGTTAAGGATATCTTACAAGTGTAGCCTATAGTATGTTTAGCAAATAATGCATGTCTTAAATGGCAAGTGTTTTCAGACATAAAAGTTCTAATTGAAAAAATCCAATGATTAATGTTTATTTTTAAAATGCCCGGTTTATTCTCAATCACCCTTTATAACAATATAAATTTGATGAACAATGGAGCAAATATCTTTACAATATTTTGCTTTGTAAGATTATTTATATTCTTGTAGTATTAAACCTTGTAATTAATTGCTATGTTTTCCTTGACCATCTCAATTTTCATAAACTAAATTTAATAAATTCATTTAAAAGTTTAATAAGAAATCTAACTTAAAAAAAAAAAATGATTGTTGACTCCTACCACTTCAAAAAAATCCTATAAGTGGGATCAACAACATTGCAATTCATGGCATAGTCACGTTTTACAATCCTCGTAACATTATTAGGAAAACACCACGCTGTACAATGATCAATGTTTCATTAAATATATTGCAGTTTTCCTAATATAGGCTGTTGGTTTTAAAGGATTTTCCGCATGTAGTGCACTTTTGGTCGCTCGCTGGTATGACCCAAAGAATGTTTATTCAGACAGTCCTTAGTTTTAAAGGATTTTCCACATTTAGTGCACTTATGAGGTCACTCTCCTGTGTGAATCAGTGAATGTCGCTTCATTTTTGAATTGGTTGTGAAGGATTTCCCACATGTAGTACACTTATGAAGTCGCTCTCCGGTGTGAACCAATATATGTTGCCTCATATAGTATTTGTTTGTGAAGGATTTTCCACATATAGTGCACTTATGAGGTCGCTCTTCTGTGTGAACCAATGTATGTCGCTTTAAATCTTTATTAGTTTTGAAGGGTTTTTCACATGTAGTGCACTTATAAGGTCGCTCTACAGTGTGAACTAATGTATGACTCTTCAAATGGCTGCTGGATATGAAGGATTTTCCACATATAGTGCACTTATGAGGTCGCTCTCCTGTGTGAACCAATGTATGTCGCTTTAAATCTTTATTAGTTTTAAAGGATTTTCCACATTTAGTGCACTTAAAAGGACACTTCCCAGAATGTGTCAACAAATGACACTTCACATGGCTTATTTGAATAAATTTTTTCTCACATGCCAAACATCTAAAGGGACGCTCGCCTGTGTGTAAATATATATGACACTTCATTGTATATTCAGCTGAAAAAGTTTGTCTACATATTGGACACTCAAGGGGACGCTTTTTAGTGATCTTTAACATGTTTTTAGTTTTCAATTTCTGACATAACCTTTTAGACATGCTAGAAACTAATTGGAATCAGTCAGTTGGTTTTGAATGTCTATTTCTGTTTGATTTGTTAAATGTTTTAACAGTTATGTGTGTAGGCCTATCAATCAACTTTAATATAAGGCCTGAATCATCCTACTTATTTATAAGAACTTTGCTTCTTTGTTTAATTTCTTGCCCAAATAATATTGCATCAACTATATAAAAGTAATGTATAGTTTAAGTTTTACATAGTTAATTACTTACTTTAAATTGCACTTTTAGAGAAGAAAACACTTAATTGATTTAAACGTTGTTTTAAGTATTATAACAGATAATGTAAATTATCTTTCTTGCGGCATGAATTGAAGTTCCTTTTCCTCTTCAAATCTATTACTTCTCCTGAAAAATATCATAATTTCATTAAATATATACATTTGTTGTAATCATCCAGGAAAGTTTTTGTTTATTTAGTCTAAACAATTAATTCAAAGCATTACAATAGTATATTTAGGCTATAGAGTAGAAAGTAAGTCATTACAAATAATCGAGAATATGTAAAGGCAGTGGCGGTTCTAGGACCTTGTCAGGGGGGGGGGGGCTACCGGGGGGATTGGTGGGTGTGGAGCATCCCCCAATAAAGCAGGGGGGTCCTGAGGTTCTCCCCTGGGAAAATTTGGAGTTTTCAAAGCAGTTTGGTGACTTTCTAAAGCCATTTTTACACTTAAAACCGTGACCAATTGTCCATAAACTCCCATTTTGTCAAACTCCAAGTTATTGTTGTTTGTCATGAGCAAATAGACATATTAAAAATTAAACTATGACGATTGCATTCATGAATTTCAAAACACACTTTAGACTACGGCCATATCCTCCTAAAAGCCGTTGGGTGACTTTGTACAGCCAGTTTTAACGTCTACAACTGTGTGTAAAACCTCCCATTTCCCCATTTATTTGTCATGAATAAGTAGACATTTTTAAAACTAACTATGACGATTGCATTTATAAATCTCAAAACATATTGTAGGCTACGGCCATATCCTCCTAAAAGCTGTTTACTGACTTTCTAAAGCCATTATTAATGTCTATATCTGTGTCCAACTGTCCAAAAACCTCCCATTTCACCTGTTAATTGTCATTGTCATGAGCAAGTAGACATTTTAAAAATCAAACTATGACGAACTTGCATTCATGAATTTCAAAACATAGGCCCTACTGTAGACTACGAAGCTATATCTCCTAAAAGCCGTATGGTGACTTTTTAAAGCCATTTCTAACGGCTAAAACTGTGCCCAATTGTTTTAAAACCTTCCATTTCACCTTAACAGGAAAACCTAACGGCCTATATATGTCATGCAAGCAAGTGAACACGTTTTTTAACCTTACGTTTTTCTCCATTTCATAGATCTGTCAGAATATGTATATTATCGAATCCAGTAATAGCATTGACTAGGCTATATACTTTAACACTATACTTTTTTTGTTTATATAGTCAATGATAATAGGCTACTGGTGCTACCGCTGATTGCTGATTGAAGCCTTTGTAAAGTTAGTGTCTAGCAGACAATTTGACAACTAACTATGGAACATCAGGAAATCAGCTGTTTCTACGTCCTCGCTCGCCTTTGCCTAGCATGTCCACAGCTGACTGCTGTAAAAATTGGATGATGCATACAACTTTCCATAGCATAATATTGTCTTATTCGTTAACGCTATTGTCCAAAAAGTTTATCCATGTGGAACTTAATAATACTCCTGCCATCGCTTATTAAGATGAATAAAAACTACATTGATGATGTCTGTTTTAAGACATCGCGTGTTTTAAGGACAAAATGTACGTTTAAATTTATTTTTTCAGGGTCCAAGGGTGGGGCTTTAGCCCCTGTAGCCCCCCCCCCCCCCCCTTGGAACTGCCACTGTGTAAAGGCCCAATTTCACTCGTGTTTTGAACCTTACTTTTCGCTACACTACAAAAGATAATTGTTTTCTTCATTACAAAACTCATAGTATTTTTTATTAATTTTGAACATTGAAACAGTTGATAAATTAATAACATATATTTGTTTGTTTACGTCGGCAAAATCCAGGTAGCCTACGGTAAACATTACTTTCACATGGTTAACAGTCTTTTGCTGAAGTAAACAATGTAAGTTAATGATGGATTTTCACAGCTGATAAACATGAAATGAAAACATGTAATTTCACAGTAAGTTAGTTTTGCGAAAATATACGTACTGTACTAAGTAGATCTAGATTATCATAATATTTAGGCCCAATGAAAATCTGAACCATTAATGCCGTTAAAATTTGTGTACTGTAGGCCTACCGTAATCTAAGCTTGTAAGTTATAGGACCTGGTGTCCATATAATAATCATCAGGTATTAAAATACTTTTTCGTCATACTGCAGCAAAAACAGCTGTTTTTAACCCTCCGAGTGTCCATAGTTTAGGCCTTAATGTCCGCCTATTTTTGGCGCATTTGTAAGGTTTTATTAAAACGGATCTGAAAAGCTTAAAACAATGTTAATTCTACTGTTCTATATACCATTTTGTTTGGAAAATCATGGGCTTCAATATCATACATAAAACCTAAGAAATATTTTTTCAAAAAAATTTTTTTAGGTAAAAATAAAAATTATTTTGGAAAAATTGAAAAAAAATAAGTTCGCGCTCAATGAAATTGTATAAATTATAGGCCTATAAATATTTGAAAATAGCCACTTTGTTCTAAATTTTATGAGGGTTACAAATATATAATAGTATAAGGAAGTAGATTTGCAAATAAATAAGTTATGGGCAAAAAACAGATTTCAGTACATAGTGTTTAGCTAAGAATGCATAGCCTAACCATAGCTAGGAATCTGGCTGATAATTTACATCAATATCACTACCTACTTCTTCAGGATCATCAACCAGCCCTTCAAAATAACTTAAATCTTCTTATAATGCACCACGTATATCACTACTTTTGATTTTTAACACTAAAACAATGATAAACATAATAAAACACATCAGTCATCGGTCCGAGGTTAACTAACCTGTTTACAAATACGCACGTCAGCTGTCTGCTACAATTACGATCGGCTCGGAGAACATAAAGCGCTTAGAGACAGACCTCTGGAGAAAGCTTAGAATATAATGAAAAGAACGATACCAAACTCGATCCAGTTCAATCCGATTTTGTCAGTCATAGAGCTAGGGATGAGAATATCAGTGACTTTAAAATATCACTCGGAACTGTGACTGTGACAAAGAAATATCGGTTAAAAATATCGGTGACTAGTCACAGCGATATATGCTACGGTGGCGCTCCGTGCGGTGATACTCAAAACTACGAAACTGTGACGATGCCATTGGCGTGCATCACTCGAACGGCTAACCAGCTACTTGTGACTGCGACTGTGACTGCTCCAAACCCCGAATGACTGCTACTGTGATCTCGCGCTGTTGACGATATAGGGTGCAAAGCCCGCTCAAAGTACAGTAGTTCGCTCAAAATCCGAAGGATACAAAGAGCAGCACTTATAGTGATGTGGGCCGGGAATATTCCCAGTGGGAGGGAACTTATAAAATGGGAATATTGCCGGGAATATTTCTTTGGCCCAAAACTGGGAATATTCCCAAAAATTGGGAATTTATGAAAATTTTAAAATTCTGAACGTTTTAACACATATTGATGGTTAAAGAACCTTAAAACTTGTTACCTATAGTAAATTCTTACATTTAAATCTAAGAGTTGTCATTCCATGTACATTTCTATAAAATTTTTTTGGAATTTATGAAATTGAATGGATTTTAATTATTGCATTCCAAGAAAAGAAACAGACTTTTATCTAAATGAGCAGCAAAACTGACAGTTCTTTCTTACAACTGGAAACTCATGAATGCTCAACCTCTAAGAGAGAGTAAGCAAGCAGAAGGCAACCCAGAGGAAACAGGACAGGAAGAAAATGAAGACATCCTGTCCCTTCTCACAATCGAAGAAGGGGATGAGGATGAGATTGACTTGACAAGTAACAATGAAGACGATTTTTGTGGATTTAGAGATGTAAATGACGAGAAGGACGAAGTAAATATAATTGACATAGAAAGTGACAGTGACTAGGAAACATAAAAATTAATACAGAAAGCAAATATGTCATTTCAGTATTTCCCATCTAACCTTTTTGTTTTTAATATGTAGTCTTGATTTATACACTAAATTATTTTTTTTTTTCAAATAATATTTTTATTTCCTGTATATTTACTAGGTTATGTTCGTTTCTGATTATCTATATATATATACTTATTTGATACGCAAGCAGGTTTTTTGTGACAATTAGGCCTACTCCTCCGAAACTACTGAACCAATATATATATAGATATGTTTTTGGTGTCATTGGAAAGAGCGTAACGTGAAGTTGTGCAGGAAACTTTTTTAGGGAAATAATTAGAAAGTGAGGCCCTGGGGCCCTTTAAAGTTTTGTATTCCTCCAAAAGATTAAAATGGGAGGTCATGACTGCGATGCAGAAGAAGGTCAGCCTTAAATAAAATAAATAAATGTGCCAAGTTTGATCAAAATATTTCCATAATCAAGCAATCTACAACATTTTACAATATTCTCCATAATAGCATGGGAATTTTAAATTTGCTATTTTTTTTAATTTTTGTAATAAACAATAACCGTACAAAAACATTTTGGTTTACTAAATTATTTGTTTTTTAGTACTTTAAAATGGTCTAGATATAAATTGGGAAATTTTGTGTTTTGAGGGTAAAAAATAAGAACAACCATTTTTCACCCCATAAAACTCTGTTCCCATGGTCCGATCATGCTGGTTTGCTAAATCATTTAAGTTTATCCTGCCCTACATCCTCAAACCAAATTTAATCAAAATATGAGAAAAATTACTCAAGTTATCACGTTTACTGACATATATAGGTTACATATGTCTGTGTATATATATGTCCGCCATATATACATGCCATTTACGGACATAAAAATTTGAACAAACAGTGTTTTTGGCCTCTAAGGACATCAAAACGAAAAAGTATATCGGTCCCGGCCTTATCATATTATGTGCTCATTGGTCTTGCCTTGCCAACTACGGTAAAAGCTACTTCCCTATAGGGAAATTCGCTAAAAGAAAACTGAATTAACACTGTGCTGCATTTCTTAGTAATAATTGAAAGAGCCGATTTGCAAACTATGGAACCGTAGGAAAGTCATAGAACACCACCAAGAAGAAGAAATAGAAATAATGTTTTTTAAGAATTTATAATCATTATTATGGACAACCTAATGCAGCTATGTGTAAGGCTATTTGTAGAAAACACTAAAAAACAAGATCAGCTTTTGAAAAATGATAAGATATTTACAAGAAATGTTGATTATATCGATCTGTTATATAGATCTTGAGTATTTCCATAATTCTTGAGGCGAAATCTTTTAAAGTCATCAGAAATTATGACTTTTATTCGTTTTAAAATAACACCTGTAATACTTAGCAATAGCTTGAATTCGAGCAACAGGTACACTAGCTGTATTAAATCAACATTTTTTGAAAATAGATTGTTTGTGTTTTATTTAAAACAAACTACCACACAGTGACCGATTTGAGCAATTAGCTTATAAAATTATAAATTCCCAGTTATTTATTTCAATTAAAACTTTGTATTATAATATATTTCAGTTTTTGTGGTTGATTTAACCTTATAATTATGGCTTTTAACTATTAAGTAACAGTTTTCAAACCTACCTTGCTAATTAAAAATAAATTCCCGGGAATTTATGAATTTTGGGAATATTGCCGGCAATATTCCCTGGGAATATTTCCTCGATATTAAATTCCCGGGAATTTTACATCACTAAGCACTTACAAGGACGGCGGATACAGCCCAGTCACAGCGCTCCTACAGTCGATATTTTGAACTAAAAGCCTGTGACTGGGGAACAGAGACTGTGACTCGCTCAGTCACAGCGCTGCTCGCGCTTCTACAGTCGATATTTTGAACTAAAAAGCTGCGACTGCAAATGGTGAACAGAGACTGTGACTCCGGTAGCTGCTACTTTTGATATCGTGTCACAGACTGTGACTGCGACTTAAAAATATCGGTGACAAAATCACAGTCTGTGATTTATCGCTCATCCCTACATAGAGCCTTCGCCGTAAACAGTGTTCGTGAGTCGCTGCAGCGACGCATGACACTTGGAGGGTTAATGTATGTGTTGCGGGTCTAAAGTAGCATTTTTACTCAGGAGTAAAAATAATTTTTATCAACGCTATTTTTTATCCTCTCATGAATATGATTAAGTAACTTGTTTGAAAAATTGCTGTTTTCCTGGCTGCTTAAGACTGCACGGGCCATCCCCATCTTTATAAAAGGTGACCTCTCACAGCTGTCAAACTTAAGACCTATTGCCATACTGCCTGCTCTCTCTTTTAAAAGATAGTCTGTAAAACTAATTGATTATTTTGAGTCAAATAGGCTACTTAGTACTTATAAATGCCCAACATGACTTTCTTAAAGGACGATCTACCACGACAGCCCTGGTTAGCATGGTCGACCAAATCGCAGATGCTTTTCATTGAAGCCAAGGACTCAGTCCTGCTGAACATGTTAGTGTGATCTAAGAAAAGCATTTAACGTGGTCAGTGTCCCATGAAATCGTTGACGGTGGTATAAAGCTTTTAAGGTTTACTTTGTTCCATTGCAAAATAAAGGGTTTCAAGGGGAAAATCCCACTCCCCAGAGCCATACACCTACCAAACTAAGTTAGGCCTTCTACTAATTTTCCTCTATAAATAGGGGAGATATACCTAAGCTCATAACTTACCCGTGTTTAGTTATTCATCTACAAATTTCTGGTCCAGTTTGGTCGGGAATGGGCCTAGTTTCCTTTAACTTGAACTGCACATGGTTAGAACTACTGTATACTATTAAATGGCTATATTCCAAACTTAGGCCTATATGATATTAATGATTAATGCAACAGAATATAATGTCAAACAAGACAAATTTAAAAAGGTTCATCTTAGGTTTAGGTTAGGTTAGACCAGGGTTGCCACCTCGTTGTTGCGTTTTTACCCTAAAGGCGGGCTAAAATTACCCTAAATTACCCTAAATCTACTTTGAGTTACCCTAAAAGTTACCCTAAATGTTAATATTTTCGTTCAATGCTATAAAACATTGTTAAAATAATATAAATCTTACATAAGGTGGTTAATTAAACTAAATAAGGTTCCAATATCAATCAATATACGTAAAATTATACTCGTTTCTAAAAAAAACCCGAAAAAGAAGAACAAAATGTCGATAACCAGCTCTATTGTATATACAGTACGAAAAATATCGAATCAAGAATTATCGTATTTTCTTACTGTGTCGACCCATTAGCCTACTACTGTTTTTGGACAATCATATCTTTTTAATACAGTACGGTAACACCAAAGCTTTAATCTATACTTAGCAGACATTTTTTGACACAATTTGTAAAATAATCCTAGTTTGATTCAATTCAATCACATAATTAAAAATCAAGAAGTAATGAATAATATGTCATATTTTATTATAACGTGTTATGGAAATAGAATTGAATACAATCTAAAGCAGATAATTCACTACTATTGATTGGATCCATCGATTAACTTGAAATGAAAAATGCATCATAACAATCAATTTTTAAACCGGTTGAACCGCATATGACGGTTTGGCTATAATATGTAGTAATGAACGTTTTTTGCCAAATTTTGAAGTTTATTTTCATGTTTTTCGTTAAATTTCCATTGTTATGCTAACTTTTTGTTTTACCCTAAAATCACCCTAAATCTACCATTACCCTAAACTTTACCCTAAGACTAGTAAATTAACCTAAAAAAGGGTAATTACCCTAAAAGTGGCAACACTGGGTTAGACTATCGAACGTCGTACCGTCGTGAAGTTAGCGGCTCTTTTCATCGGCGCTTTTTCGGTTTATTTATTTATTTATTTATTTATTTATCGTTTCAACGGCTGACGCCAATACATAGATGATTAGATTGAGATACAATTTGGGAACTAACAAGAAGCAAATGTTAACAATTCAGAACAGTAACAAGCTACGAGATAACAATAAATACAACAATAAAAACAAAAACAACAATAAATAGCAACAATAAATACAAGTTGACAAACAGGCGAAATTCACAATAATGATTTACTAATTTGAGAAAATTATGTGATATAACATTTGAGTGCAAAAACAGAACAATAATAATGCATGAACAAACCAAGCAAAGAACAACCCAAACATATCAGAAAATGTGAGAAGAATACTGCCATACAATTAAACAAAACCAGAAAGGGCAGTAGAAGAATTTGCATAAACAGAGAGGCACAGGCACAAAACACAGAAAGATCTTCACTTCACCACTTCGAAATCACCACACATTTCTTGAAGGTAGCCAGCGACATATTAAAGAGGTCAATATCATCCGGTAGAGCATTTACGAGACGTTGGGCTCTAGGCAGTGGGCTGAAGAGATGGTAGTTGGTGCTGAGATGCTCACGAGAGAAGAGATCCTTGGATCTTGAAGATCTACCTGCCCTGAAGTTCAGAAGTTTGAGAAGTCCGGGACAGTCGATGAAGCCATTGACCAGTTTGTAAATGAGCAAGATGTCCTGGATCTCACGTCTGGACTCCAATGGAAGGATTTGAAGGGCCTTGGAGATTTCTTGGATGGGTACCTCTCTGTAGTTGTAGCCCAACCTCACACCGACCACTCTCAAGAAGTGATTAACAACCATTTGAAGTTCGGTCTTGAGATAGTCCTGGTGAGGTGACCAAACACAACAGCCAAACTCTAGGTGTGGCAATACGAAGGCCAGGAACAGGGTTTTGAGTAGAGTAACGTCTTGGAAATATTTGGAGCTTCGAAGAACAAAACCCAGGGCTTGAAGGGCTTTTCTGCAACTAGAGGTAATGTGACGTTCCCATGACAGGGAGGAGGTTAAGGTCACACCTAAATCCCTCACTTCATTAACCCTAGCAAGATTAGATTGACCCAGGCTATATACGAACTGAGACTGAGACTTCTTCTTACTAAACGATATGGCTACACACTTTTTAATGTTTAGATCCATGTGGTTTGAGAGACACCAGTTCTGGACGGCATCGAGACTACGTTGGAGGAGAAGGCAGTCTTCGTGGCTTCTAATGGTACGGTATATCTTCAGGTCATCAGCAAATAGAAGGCAATGGTTACCTACGTGGGTCACAAGGTCATTTATGAAGATGTTGAAAAGTGGTGGACCGAGGTGTGAGCCCTGGGGAACACCAGATGTGGGGAAAAATTCGTGAGATAAAGAACCAAGAAACTTAACTTGGACGGGGCGGTTTGCAAGGTAGGACCGGAACCAAGATAGCATTTTCCCAGTTACACCAGCAGCTTGGAGCTTGGTGAGGAGGAGCGGATGGTTTACCCTGTCGAACGCCTTAGCAAAGTCAAGATAAATTGCATCCACTTGCAAGCGATCTTGAAAGGCATCAAGGATGTCAGCTTGCATTACCAAAAGATTGGTGGTAATTGAGCGTCCGGTAGAAAATCCATGCTGCAGTGGAGAGAGATACGGCTTGATGGCAAAATTCAGTCTTTTGAGGATCAACTTTTCAAAGATTTTGGAGAGTGTATTCAAGATAGCTATAGGTCTGTAGTTGCGGACGTCTAGAGTAGGACCAGATTTGTGAATGGGTAAGATGTAAGCAGTCTTCAGGGCATCAGGAAACACACCCGAGGCTAAAGAGTGGTTAAACAGAACTAAAATAACAGGAGCTAGTACATCAGCACTTGATTTGAGAACATTAGGCGGTATGTTGTCAGGGCCGCAACCCTTAGATCCATCCAGGTTCCTGAGGCAGTCGACAACTTCCCCAAGCTGAAGCGAGCAGGAAGAGAGGACATCTGAAGCTCCCACATCAAGTGGAGGATTATAGGCATGATCGTTGGTATAGACCGACGAGAAGAAGTCAGCGAAGAAGTTGGATATTATATCAGGATGCTCCGATGAATGATCATCATACTTGAAGGTTCTAGGCTGATCATCAGAAGATTTAAGGTTCCTCACAAAACCCCAGAAAGACCTAGGATTGCCCATTATATTGGCTTGAATAAACTGCAAGTAGTTTTTGTAGCAGATTCCAGAGAGTTGTTTGCATTCAGCTCTGACACGTGCAAACTTGACGTAATCATTATCCTTTAGGGACGTCTTAAAAGCCTTGTGAAGGATTTTCTTCTCGATCACCAGCTCACGCAACTGGGGTGTGAACCAGACGGGAAAGGGAGACTTGGCAATATTTTTCATGGGAGTATGACGCAAAACTATGGTACTGACTGTACTGCAGAAGCTATTAAACAAAGCATTGGTATCTGACTCAGGGTCAAACCAACTAAAATCATGTGACTGAAGTTCCAAATGAACAGCAGGTAGATCGCTTTGACTGAAGTTTGGTCGGAAAATAGGAGCTCTGTCAGAGATTTTTTGAGGCAAAGGTACATCTATTGATAAAGCAGGATGATGAGACTCCGCTGGAACCAGAGGATCAGTGTCTTTTGATACCATGATGTTGTTGAGGGAACACATAATAAGGTCTAGACACACTCCACGGTCATTTAGGACATCGTTGAACTGACTTAAATTCAAAAAGGACATAGAGTTCATAACCACGTTGGACTGAGCTGACTGGGGGTAGGGGGGGTCGGCAGTTTGGCACCAGTTCACTTCAGGTAGATTAAAATCGCCAATCAGGAGGGACTCAGTGGGATTAGTGGTAACAACAGCTTCTTCAATAATGGAAAAATACTCCTGGTAGAGATCTCTGTGGGATTTAGGGGGAAGGTAGACGCCACTTAGAAGAAAGTTCGATAGAGCGCCACACGACAGTGATACCACCAGACACTCAACATCTTCGCTCTGGATATCAACCCTCCTTGAGCAATACTTCTTGTCAACAGCCATCATCACACCACCACCCGAAGACTTGGCACTATTATCCTTAGATCGGTCTTGCCTGTATATATCAAAGGTGCTAGGGAAACCAAGTTCAGAGCTAGAAATATTAGGTAACAAGTTAGTTTCCGTAAGAACAATAATATCATAGACACATGTCGAGAGTGACTTCCTTAGATCCAAAAGTTTCGTTCTCAGTCCATTCACATTTTGATAGAACATGTGAATTGTGTGAAGGACTGGGGAGTCTAACCGTTTTTTGGCTTTTTCACAATAGCGGGTGTACCATTGACAAACTTGATAGTGAGATCGGTTTCGCCTGTTTTTGTGCGCTCTTCCAGCTCTTTCCGTAGTTTGCTTAAAAGCTTACGTTCGTTTGGAGTTCTATCTCTAGAAAGCTCTATTTCGGAGAAAGAAGCGTGAATCGAGGCAATCTTATCAACAGAAAACGTTGTAAAGAACGAACGAACATCATCAGAAGATGGAAGAGTAACCTTCAGGGGACGAGGAGCTCGACCCTTACTACGGCCGATTCTAAAGAAACTGAAAGAGGAGAAGCTTACCCCCAGGCTCTGAAAGATTTTATTAAGAGTATCCAGATCATGGGCCTTAATCAGGTCAGCGTTGTTGGAGTTGCTTTCAGGGAGCTTGTACAGGATAATGTTCTTAGCCCGACGTATCCGGTCATTGAATTCCTCAAAAATATGTTCAGTTGTAGATTGGTCCAGGGAGGTAGATTTCAGTTCAGAGATGACGCCTTTCAAGTCGGAGATGTCATTTTCAGCAACGGCAAGTCGAGGTTCGATGTCAGAGACCTTAGAGGAGAGGTCATTCAGTTGAGCCTTAAGATCGGAAATCCCGCTCGCTAATTTGCTAAAATCTTCTTTAGTAGGAAGCTGGGCAAAGTTGTCTAGGAGCTTATTCAATTTGGCAGATACAGTAAGTAATAGATGTGGGTTGGTACGCCTGCGGACGCCACAAACGTGTTTTGCAGGGATGTCGGAAACACAAATCAATGACAATACGATGCGAAATGATGTTTTTACATTTATATAATGTCAATAAT